TTTTTCCAACTTCATATCTGTGCAAAGATGGATTTTCTTCATATGCTTCAACCAAAACAACATATCAAAACAGACTGAATGCAGAATAAAATACATGGATCCAGCTGTCTTCCATTAAACAGATGTTAAAAAGATTTGAAAATGTAAAATAATACCAATTTTCATTAAATTATTTGTTTTGGAAAAGTTACTTTTCATAAAAAAATGCTATTTTTGTTAACACTTGATGGGTTTATTACTGTTCTTTTTAAATTAATACATATTCGAAAAGTTATGTTTCAATTTCTAAATGTGACAAATATTGATAAATAGAATCCATGTAAACAAAAGCTCTTTGAGGGTCTTCAATAATTTTTAAGATTGTGAAGGGGTTCTGAGAGCCCCATTTGAGAACCACTGTGTTACATATCAGGCCCTTTGCAAACCCAGCTGACCTAGCTTTCTAGTGTTATTTCCTGACCTTTCCCTGCCCATCATCTCTCTCTTTCCATTGCCATCCCCATGTCCAGAAATACCTGATGACTTACAGGCCCCCAAATAGGCTACATTCCTGATTTCCAATGCCCTCCCTGTTACTCTCATGTGTCAAGTTTCTACTCATTCTCTTAAAACCAAGTTTAGTAAAATTTTTCCTTATTAACCCTAGAAAGTGAGTTACACCCTCCCTGGAGCCCCAGGGGCTTTGTGCAGAGCCGCTGATCATGAGACATCATTTTGTATTAGATTGTTTACACATCTGTCTTTCCCACTATGCTGCAGGCTCTTTAGGGCTAGGAAGTTTTCTTCACCCTTAAACTCCATTAAACCCCAGCAGCTAGCATGGCTCCAAGCACACTGCTGATGCTCAACAAATCCAAAAAAAGGAAGGAGAAAAGGAGGAAAGGAGGAGAGGAAGTTTTATCTCACTCTCCTGCCCTGACATAATGACTCTGGGTCCGAGGAAGGGATCATGGAGGACGGTGTGGACAAGGGGCACTCCCTGGAGAAGCAGCAGGCATACACTTGAACCCTTAGCTGCCCAGCACACACACAAGCCTTCTTCCTTCCCACAAAAGACAAAAAAATGTCTTTTTTTTAAACATAAGCCATAGATACCCACATACAAATTTAATCGCGTACCCCTTCTCCAGAGGAAACCACACAGAGACTTATCCAGCTGCTGTAGCCACAAGTGATGTCATGACGCCGTTGTTCCCTGAGTGCAGGAGCTTTGGGATGTGTCTGTCTTAGACAGTCTGCCACTTTGAGACCAAATTTAATTGCCAGTCCAACCATCTCTAAAGTACAATGATGGGGGTGGGGAGCAGATAAGGGAAGAGAGGACAACTTTGTTCCTAAGTTACAATTCCTATTTTAAAAGGAAAAAATAATAGTGTCAGGAGAGTGCTGGAATTATTTGCTTCCCAGCAGCGAAAAAAATGCAGATGGAGGCACTCTTCTTGCTTTTGCAACTAGCCTTGAGGTCACAGTATTTGTGATTCTTCTCCCCCATTACCCATGCCATGTTTCCCTTGCTTTTGACCAGTGTCTTGGCTGCTGTCTAGTTTAGCAAACCCCATTTCCCAGCCCTTATCTTTCTCTATAAACTAATGTAAGTTGTTTAGTTTTATAATTTTCTTTGTAAAAAAAAACCTTTAACCACTGAATATCAATTCAGACTACAATTTTTATTTACCAGTTGGATGGCAATTACATTGGAGTCCACTCAAATGAATGTATCAAAGAAATGAACCCACGAAAATATTTTGTTTGTGGATAGCAGGAGTTAAATGAAAGCTTAATGTTCTTTATCAGTAAATGGCCCTCCAACTTCTGAAATGGAAAAGGGGACTCAAGAGCCTATTGAAGAAAGCTGTCCACTTGCAGATAGAGAAAGCTGACCTATTCTAGGAACACATCAGAACACGTGCACTTTCCAGGATAATTCATCACTTCTTCCAAGGAAAGAGTAATAAGTCTCAGTAAGTAAAATAGATCCTTCTTCCTTCAATAAAGAGACCCTTTAACCATAACAATCATCAGTTATTTCTATCAGTTGTCAGACCAGAGAGATTTTGAGAAGCGTTACTTATCTCAACAGAAGAAATAAAAATTGCTAGTGGGGCAAACCAGAAAAAGAGAATGTGTCTTTGAACTGATTTTAAAAGAGCAAAACGTGATTTCAGGAAAAAGCATGTTTGGGACACTAGAACATCTTCTCCTTCTCTGGCCAGTCTAAGCAATTTCGTTCTGACCAGCTAACACCGAAGGCACGTGTGAGGACAACTGGGCAGCACATTATTTTTCAAAAGGAAAAAACATTCTGAGTCAGCATCTGGTAAACTCTAGGAAGGAGAAAACTCACTGAAAAAAGCTTTCCTGTGAAACATGTAATAAGAAACAGGATGACTTTTGACTTTAACTAAAGTTGGCCTCTCATTTTCCAGTGGCATGCATAAGTGGAGAACAAAGTCTATTTGAATTCTAAGAGGAGTCACTTTTCTACGGAAAAAGAGACTTCACATAAAGTAATTTCAATTTGGATCCACAAAATCTAAGATTAAACTCTTCCAAGGACAGAACACAGTCATATGAATCTCGCCTCATGACAAGAGAGTGATCTTTCGTGCCAGTACCATTTGTGCAATAGATGTGTCCAGTCTTCCCAACAGCATGGCTGGAGTGTGTAAGTTGGAAAGGTCCAACCACGACCGAAGCATATCCAGCTTTGACAAAATGAGACAGGACTTCCTCCATAGGGTGGCTAGATTTACACGAAGTGCCTTTGAGAAAGCATGTCCCCCACCACCATTACACACATACCCAGGAGGTTCACATTGTTGTTTTAATGTGAATGCTTTGCTCTTGGGTTTGATAAAGTGGTCAACAAAATTTTATTTTGTAGGATCTGGTCATTTCAAGTCATTTCAATTTATGACCAATTTATGACCTACTAGATTTTCAATTTATGATTTACTATGTGTCAAGTTTCATTTAAATTGTTTATTTAGAGAATTAATATCTACAATTCCAAGCTGAACTAGGAAGGCTTCTTTCAGTGACTAGGGCATGGTGAACATGAATATATGAACTTATTCCAAGATGGCGCTCAGGTACCAGGTTAGCAAGTGATTACACACTTGTAAAGTGATCTTCTAAAGCTAACATTTAGTGAATATTTACTCTGTGATAGACACTATTCCCAGTGCTTTCCAGGTATTATCTTGTTTCTTTCTCTCAACAACTCTCTACAGTAGATGAGAAAATTGAAGTTTAGAGACACTAAGTGATTGTTCAAAATCCCATAGCTCCTAGTAAGTAATGGGGGCCAGAGCTCATGCTCTTAACCATTACATATTTCTCCCCTTTGGGTCTAGAAATGAGAGTAGCTTCTGTTTACCACGACATATTAGCATTTTAGTGCTTTCAGATATACATTCACTTTGTTTACATACTCCTTGAGGTTATTAACCTCTTTCTAGAGGTTAAATGTTATGTCTACTTTGCTATCAATTTGTAAGGCCTTCCTCGCATTGCTAGAGTTGAAGTGACCAAAATTAATGGCAAAATTAATAGTTCAGATACCCTCTTGTTATATTAAAATCATGTTAACTCTGAGGACACACGTAGCTGCCCTAAATTGAGAACATCAGGGTGTTGGTAGTAACAACACCATCACTGCCACCACCACCAATCACCACTGTTGTCAACAGCAGCTACCATTGACTGAGCATCATTTACATGCCAGGAACCATGACTATTTGTTTTACATACATTACCTTTAACCTTCACAGTAAGCTAACAAAACAAATTATCATCTTCATTTTAGAGCTAGAGAAAGCTAAGCTCAGATAGGTTATGAAAGAAGATCTGGATTCTAGATCGATTTCTCAAAGAACTTAGTATAAAGTTCATTCTTATCATTAGTAGGCGGACCTCTAGAAGGCATGTTAAAAATAAATTTTAAAAATGAAGATCAGTGTCTGATCTATAATTGGCACCTCTGCAGCAATTTGGGGTTATTCCTTGACTTGGTTAGAATAGATCCCCCACACAGCAGCAAGCTATTGTGGAAAATAGCTAAACTGCGCCAACACAAAATTCCTTGTACCTATTATTTTGTCATTCTCTAACCTTGATTTCATGACGGCATCAATCAAAAACATATGTTAAATGGGCATGTAACCTTTATTTGCAATATAAAATCTTCCCTAGAATCCCAGAATCTCAGGTTTGGCCATACATTACAGGTCATTCTGGCTGATCAGTTTTCCTTCTCCCATTTGGCTTGGTTTTATGTTATTTATGGGGAGAGAGAACTGAGACAATTTGTAATAAAAGCATAGACATAATGAGATTAAATAATTTGTGTTAAACTGTTTTAAAAAATGCAGAAAGTTGTCCACGTTAGTGTTTGACTACACAGAGAACAAACCCTCTGTGCACGTGCCCAGTCGCACCACAAGAAGTCATTCAGAACAATTTTAACACTTAGTTTTGATGTAATTCTATACTTACAGAAAATTGCAAGAATAGTTTAAAGAACTACTGTTTATTCTTTACCCAGATTTACCAATTACAATATTTTGCTCGATTTACTTATCATTTGTTCTTTTTTTCTAAACCACTGAAGAGCACTTTTTTGATATCTTGTCTCTTTATCCATAAATATTTTGGAGTTTATTTCCTTTCTTAGGGCTTTCAGGGTAATAAACTTTTTTTTAACCAAAACACAAAATTAACATAAAAACCATCAGAAAAAAAAATTTAAATGTTAACGATAAAAAAAAATACTCTGCCTTTACGGATAAGGGTATGAAAAATACTTTTCCCTTATTCCCCACAAAAGAGGAATTTTTTGGCCTGTTTTGTTTTCTGTGATATTCCTAGACCTTGCTATAGTATCTAGCACGCAGCAGGTGCTCAATAAATACCTGTTAATTTCTTAATGTGATGGTGTGATACTACAGTGACCCCACTTCTAAAAGTATTTCTAAAATAACATGAAGGCAACAACAGCAAAATATTCAGTCATTTCTTTATTACCTATAATTTGTAATTTATGAGTTAGAAAAGGAGGGAAAAGCTTCAGATGCAAAGGACTTTTCAGAAATTGACTTTTTAAGATGAGACAAAACACATTACAACCTAATCAACTGTGGCTTTCTTGGTCCCCTCAGGGCCACCACGCGGAGCGGCACTCTCCTCACAGGTATCTGTTTCTGATGTACTCTCGGTACACAGCGGTGTCCTCTTTTCCTGGGGGCTGCATGATACCTTGACTGGCCTGGATGTGCGCTTGGAAGATCTCTGTAGATTTTTTGTCTACTCTTGGGGGCTGAACTTCATAGATGTTGTCTTGCGTGAAAGCCGAGATGGGTGCTCTAAAATAGATGAAAGAAGAGAGGGCTGCTTTAAAGAAAACAAAATGAAGGACCACAGGGAGCTGTGGTTAAGCTGTGGTCTCAAAAGCCTTTGATAACTGCTGACCTTGAGCTGGTGGGTTTATTATTAATAAGTAGCTGGAGTGACCACCCCAGTTCCCTTGAGGCTGGCTTCCACCTCTGCCTGGAGGACAGGGCTGACCAGCACCTGCGTGGAAAGCCTTCCCTGGTGTACAGGCAGAGGGCCACTTCCTCTGTTCCCAAAGCCCATGTGCTCTGCTGTCTGTGCACCCATCTGTCCCCCTCACATGACTGGGAGCAACCCTAGGTGGGGGATATACAGACTTTTTGTTCCTTTTCCTTGGCACATGGTAGTCATTTGATGGTGTTTTAAGGAAGATTTAGTAGGAATCAATGAAGTAGGGGATACTAATAATTCCTACTTCATAGGGTTGTTGACAGGAGTAAATGAGTCTATATGTGTAAAGTGCTCCCTTAGCACAGTGTCTGGCATAGTGCCTCTAAGTGCTCAGTAAGTGTGAAGTATTATTAAAAATTGCAAGTGCAGAATTCCTTACCTGTGATTCTGAAATCCTTAAAGCTTCAACAACCAGAAGTTATTTTGCCGGAAAATCTGACATAACTGAAACTTATTTTGTGGTACGTTCTAATAAATTGACAATAATCATCTCACTTCATGTGACTATCAATGTGTCTAATTATTGGACAGGGCATCAGACTGGTATGTTATTGTAAGGCGTATGTAGCATCTTGCTATGCTATCCCTAATTCTGGCATACTACCCCCAATTCTGAATTCTGTAACTAATTTGGCCTCAGGCTTTTGGATAAGAAATTGTGGATCTGTAATAGGCAGCTTCCCTTCTTTCTGGGGGGAAAAACACCCAAGAATCTCTTTATTCAAAAATATACCTCCATTCCACCCTGCCCCCATACAGCCTGCCACAGTCTTGAAATTTCCATCCACCCCTTGGGAAGGCACTATCTCTAGAAAGGCCTTGTCAAAATGCAGCTCAGTCTCTGACATCCTTAGCTGGGAGCAGGCCCTTAAAGGATGACTCAACCAACAAAGGTGTGATGTAGAGTATATGTGTGTGTAGAGTGTGCATGCACACGTGTGTGCCCAGGAAGGTCAAGAAGAGGCCACTGATGGAGAGGATGGCAAACTAAAAAGACATAGTGAGGGACTGGGGACACAATGACTCCACCACTTGGCCCAGAGCTTGCCCTGTGAGGACAGGGGTGGTTTTCCACACCAGAGCACTCAAGATAACACAGAGAGAGGAAATTTGGAGAATCTATTCTGCTGGGCTGGGACCTCAGCCTTGCTCATGTGCATCGGATCAGAAAGGCATCCTGGATTCCCAACTGTTTGGTTAGCTGGGAGCCCTGGAGTTGGGGAGGATTCCCTGAAAAGCAGAACTGGACCTCAGACCCAACTGGGTCTGTACTGGGAATACCAACATTTCGCTGGACACTAGGAAGCGCAGTGACGTACAAAGGAAGATAAAAGTTGTAAACCGCCCCCCAAAATGGCTCTATCTTCGTAGGACGTGCTTTAGTTAAATGCGGGTCTTTCTTACTTCCCCAGAAAACAGTTGAGGGAGCTCACTGTACTTTGCCTTTATCTAAAACACTAACACATTCCGAACTGGCTGGAGACTCTACATTAAACTTCATTAAAATAAAATAGAACCGGAGGTGGCCAGGGGAGCAGGCTGCCCAGTCTGTATATAAGGCCCTTCAAAGGCTCAGCAAAAGGAATCTCAAATCTTTACAGCAGACTGGATCTTTAAAGATTTTGAGAGGAGAGGAGTAGGTGACATTTTGGTTATGGAGAGAACATGACGACAGCAAAACCCTTATTGTGTGTGTTCCTCAAACACTTATCCACGTTCAACGTGTCAGGGAGCCATGTCAATGACGGGACACAAGAAAGGGACTGCAATCTGACAAAAATTGAGGACTTTATGCTTATGCCAACATCAGTAACACAACAAAATTGTTTATAGATCAAATTATGCAATGATCTTACAGATCTCAAAGAAATTTATTCATTTGTAATGTTTAAGGCTGCTAAACTCTGTCTTTCATAGACCCATTTGTCATCAGATCCCCTAGATGAAAAAACAGTGTGTATGGATGTGTGTGCACACACACATGCTATGCATATAGATAGGATATTTACATATATATTTATGCTTTATATTAACCAATATACTATATATGCATATTTAGTCATTAAACACAATGCTGAGGAAAGGGCTATGTATGTATTTCAACCATCCCCACCAAGTGATGTACTTCAAATGAGTCCATGTGAACTTTTACAATATCCATTCTATTGTACAGATATTAGAACAAAAGTATAGCTGATGAGCATTTGAGGTACTGGAGCTGATAAATCCAGATAATGTATTATAACATTTACTATTTCTTGGATAGAGCTGGGACATTTTGCCCTTGAAATCTGACTTTTTTTTTAATGCTGTTATATAGAAAAGATCAATACAACCAATTCACATGAAAGCCTTTTAGGCTATTACAAGGTTCTTTGAACAAAGTTTTCCATTACAATGCCATTATATCACTGTCATGCGTACATTAATATAAAAAATAACACTTACCCAATATTTATCATGGAAAAGCTACTGTGTTTCAGATCTATCAATGCTTTCACCTTTTTATTGTAAAATAAAACACAGAAAACCACACAAAACAAATACATACAATTACTATAAGGTGAAAACCACCCAGGTCAAGAAACAGCAATTTTGGCAGCCATCCCAGGAGCCCCTTCCATGTGGCCCATCCCGATGAGAACCCCCTCCCTCCTCTCGTAAGTAGCCATTACCCTGACTTCTACTAGCAATCACTTCTTCATACTTATAAAAAAAAAGTCTTTTCATTCAAATGTGCATCCCTAGACTCTACAGTTTAGTTTTGCCCATTTACAGTGTGTAATATGCCTTTTAATCTACAGATTCTCTCTCATTTCTTTTCCTAACAATTTATCTGTTGAAGATTCCAGGTTGCAGAGTTTCCCTCAGTCTGCATTTTGCTATTTGAACATTCATGATGCCGTTCAAAGTGTTCCTCTGCCCTTTATATTTCCTGCAGGTCAGTAGTTGGATTAAGAGGCTTGGTGAGACTCTGCTTCAATTGCTTTGGCAAGACTATAGAGCTGGTGGTGTGTTGTTTCATCAGGAGGGCCACGGTATCTGGTTGTTTATCTTTTTTGATGTTAACAGCCATTGAGGCTCAATGCCTAAATCCATTAATTCACTGGGGATTGTCAAATGATAATTATCTTATTTCTTTTTCCTTTATTTGTTGTAATAAAAAAGATGCTTTTTCTCATCTCTTATTTGGTTACCAAGCGGTACAGTTCATAGGATTCAAAGAATCATATGCTTGATTTCTTCCTTTTTTTGCCAGTTTTCCAGATAATGAAATGGTTTCCTACTACCCTTCTAAAGAGACCAGATTTTAAAAAACATATCATCACAAACTCATGGCTTTTAAGCACACTTGATAAGTTTCATTCTGCTGAAATTACTGGGTTTTTTTGAAGTTCAAATTGTCCTATCTTTGTCTAGTGGGAGCTCTTCAGTTCACTCCTAAGTCCTCTTGATATGACCCTAGTAATCTGATAGTTTTCTTACTATCTGGACTGACAAGAAGTTCCAGGTTCATTCTGAACATTTACTGACACAGACGTGGAATCCACCACTTCTCTCAGAAGCTCCGATTCCTATTAGCTGAGAACTGATATTACATGTATGTGCGTGTATATGTAAATGTGTGTGTGTTCCATGCTGAGGAGAACGCTGTTTCTCAAGGACAAAGAGGATGACAGAATTAGAACAGCCCATGATTATTTATTTGCTTTATCTTATATTAGGCACACAATGGCCTCAGAATACAATACTAATGCTACCACCATCAATATGGTTAGTGAAAACAGACTTTATTTTTGTATATACTCTTCCCATTATCTGCCTAATTTCTTCAGTTGTACTATATCCACATTTGACATATGGCCATAACATACCCTTTTAAGCCATAGCCAAAATAAGCCCTTCTGACCGTCATTTTAGTTCTAGAAGTAACTACACATTTAGTGTCTCTCATATCATCAGCCATAGCCAAAATAAGCCCTTCTGACCGTCATTTTAGTTCTAGAAGTAACTACACATTTATTATCCACACTGGTCTTTATGTCAGTGTCTCTCATATCATTATGACTGTCTAAAGGTCATTCTTCACAAGGAGGGCTCGTGGGAACAATATTCCCTGAGTTCTTCCATATTGATAACAAAATCATTTCTCCTTTTATACTTAAAAGCTTTGGAAATAATATTCTAGGCCCACATTTTCTTTCCTCAAGGTTCTTAAATATATTTCTCTACTTTTTTCTGGCATAAAGTGTTGCATCCAGAAATTCTTATGACAATTGAATTTTCTTTCCCTTAAAAGTCACTTGCTGTTTTTGTCTAGACGTCTAAAGGATTTTTTTCCTTTAAAGTCCACTTAACTTTTTATACTATATCTTGGTGTTGGTCATTCTGGGTCAATATTCTCAGGTATGTGGTGTGCTCTTTCAATATGCAGTTTTAAATAGTTTATTTCAGAAAAGTTCGGTGGGTTTTTTTTTTACTGCATTACTATTTTTAGTATTTTTTCTGTTCTCTTGCTATTTCTTCTTCAGGTTTCCTATCATCCATGTTAAATCTTCTTTCACTATCATCAATATTTGACACTTTCTCTTAAATTCTTTTTGTCTTTCTTCATTTCTTTTTGAACTTGAAGATTTTGTATTTCAGCTAATTTTGAAATAGTATTTTCAGTTCTGACCTCTAATTGATTTGTCTTTCTAGCATGCATTCATCGTCTGTAGGATGTTATTCTGCTGTGTTCTTTGATTCTTCTGATAACTTTATATAGGATTAGAATATCTATTTTTAAAAGTATATTTTT